ACATCCTTCGGGAGCAGGGCTGGGAAACACTGCATTAACTGACTCGAACCGCTGCAATCTTTCAGTCTTTTTCGAACAGTCAAGCTAGCCTAATTGTGCACGTGATCAAACTTAATAAAAGCTCCTTTATAGTTTGCTAACTCCGTCGGTAACCTTGCACTCCCAGTCCGCTAACTGCTTCTGTTGACGTCTGGTTGGATTTGAGCTCCAGTGTTCGTGGTTTTATTTGACTATAGCGGTGTCTGAAACCGCTCCCTGTCCACCATAGGGATGAGTGAATGAGTGTTTCAGACACCGCTCATGACAGGCCTGCAGGTCCCGTTAGCTTCAGCAGCTGCTGTGTGTGTGTGTGTGTGTCAGTGAGGTCTTTCGGCACCGAGGGGCGACCGACGGACCGGCCCGTGCCCCCGAGGGACGAGGTGTTTGAGTACATCATCTTCAGGGGAAGTGACATCAAGGACATCACGGTGTGTGAGCCTCTGAAGATCCACCACAGTCTTCCTCAGGACCCTGCTATCGTTCAGGTGTGTATAACTCCAGTCACGTGTCCTCAGCTCGTTCAGACGCAGCGCTGATTGTTTCCTCTCGTTAGTCATCAGTCGGGACGTCGTCCACTCACTACGGGTCGCAGGGCGGATACAGTCCCTACCGAAACATGCTACCCTCTTACAGCCAGCTGGCGGCCAACTCCCTCCTCAACCAGCAGTACGCAGCGGCCCTGGGCCTCGGTGAGTGTGTGTGCCTCAAACAGCAGTACACAACAGCCCTGAGACAGACTGTGTGTGTGTGAGGCTCAGGTTTGCATGGTGTCCCGGTGCGGAGGGGTCCTATGGTGGAGTATGCGGTTCAGACTGTGTTTTGTGGCTCAGGTTTGCATGGTGTCCCGGTGCGGAGGGGTCCTATGGTGGAGCAGGCGGTTCAGACTGTGCCAGCAGAGAAAGCCCCACTGAAGGGTTTGAGCGGAGCAGGAGAGACGGGCCGAGCGCAGCGGGGCGGTCGGGCAGCGCAGAGAGCCTTCAGCAGTGAGTCCTACACACACACACACACACACCCGAGCTCTCAGCTGGGTAACCCTGACATGGTCAAAACATTCCTCTCAGCTGGGTATTTATATTTTATGTTGTGATTTCTTGTGTGTGATTCCTGATGGGATACGCTTGGCCTCAAACAGTGCTGAAGTGCGAATAGAGTTTGGCTTTAGTGTTGAGGGCCGGACCCAGTCCACTGAGAGCACTGTGGTCGTTCGGCTTCTGGTTTCATCCGCTTCCAGCGGTTTACTTCCACAACAGTCTTATGCTGCCTGATATTGCGACTGTTTTACCTTAATGCATTAATGTGTTTTTGCACAGTTTCATGGTTTATTGCACTGTTCTCATTTCCCTATAGCGGCTAATTAATCTGGAGTCACGCATTCACAGAAAACCTCTTGCTTCTGCATTGCAAAATGAGGTGATGCACACTTGCACACATTAAACCCAGACTATCTGTAGAGCAGTACTTGAGGCTAAGCGTGTCCCTTCATTTGTCACGTGATTTCATGACCCGCCTTGGGAAGACTTTCCAGTGCAAGTTAAATTTAATTGGCTGCTATGTATGACTTGGTCAAGTGTTTATATTCAGATTATATGCATTTTGTAAAGTGTTTACAAATGAAACACCACAATCAGGCACTGGTTAAGTGTCCATTTGAGTAAACTAGTGTTAAAACGCTTGTGGTCTTCATGCCCACTTGAACACTTTGAACAAACTCTGAACTTCACTGGTCCACTTCATGACGTATTTCCAGAGGCTGCAGGTGTGTATTGCTACGAATGGTTGACTTGACCTGCTCTTTAGTAAACGTGCGTATGCGAGTTTCAAAAAGATGTGTGTTCCTTCCTCTGAGGTAATTCAGCTGCACAGCAAGGTGTCTTGAAGGGACCGAGTCAAGCTAATGACGAGAATAAGCCTCCAACTAGTAGGAGGAAACCAGGTGAAGACACTTCTTTGTTCTTTAATGACAGCGTTTGTTGATGTAGACTACCTTGTGAACATGAGGCGTCTTGTAGGACCTCGAAGGTCCAGGAACCGTGGTCGAGGGCAAATCCTTGTAGGGAACACGAAGCCCAGCACCCTGCAGTTCGAATCGGACTTCGATTTTGAAACCGCAAATGCTCAGTTCAATAAAGACGACGTGGAGAAGGAGATTGAAGACCAGCTCAATGTTGAAGGTATTTCCCCTGCACAGGCCCTTGAACGTCTCTTAAATCCACCCTGCAGAATTCGCCTTTCTTTATTCCTGTTAGTTAGTGTATTTGCTTTGTCAGAGCCAAAAGTGACCCCGGAGGAAAGCGATAAAGATCAGGATAAGCCTGAGAATGCCATTAAAGAGGATCTGCTCGGGCCGAAGTGCTTCTACAATAAAGCAAAGTGCTTCTTTGACAACATCTCGTCCGAGCTCAAGTCGAGGTATGACCCGTCCACTTCTGTTTAGCAGGAGCTCTGCTGGTCAGTGAGTTTGTTTCTTCTCCCCCAGACGCACCACATGGGCTGAGGAAAGGAAGCTGAACGTGGAGACCTTTGGGGTGCCGGGCCGGTATCTGAGAGGCCGTGGGTTTCGGGGGAGCTACCGAGGGCGTCGGGGCCGAGGGGCGGTGCAGCGTCCCCTTCCACAGAGAGTAGGCAGCGGACGACTGTGACCCGAAGTGAGTCAATCCTGCTCGCTCCACTCCATCTGACCGAGTATGCCATTGGAGGAATGATGTTTCTTTGGTTCCTATGAACACGTTAGGATGTTCTCTCTTTACAGGCTTAAGTCAGTCTCAATTGACCCCATTTACTTTGTCAACACACATTTCTTCTTTCAATAGTCTGAGATTAAAGTGCCCGTGTTTATCTGAGAAGTACTCAACCTTTTCACCAACCACTCTGTTCTTTATGGATGAATCAAATTCCACCCGCAGTGTCAGTTTAATGTTGATTGTAAGTGAATGTCTAATTCTATGGATTTAATCTTGCTCTTTTATTCATACCTCTTTCCTCCAGATGCGTTTTGCTTTCCTCTGGGTGACTTGGTCTTGTCTACGAGTTTGATTTCCAGTGGCTAATATTGCTTGAATTTTCTCCAAACAACCACTGGTTGTAGAAAAAAAAAATGGCTGCATTGATTACTTTTAATTTAACATTAAAAAGGCCTTTTTCCTTTTGTTTCTTGTATGTAAAGAACCCTGTTTCTTAACCATGTAAATGCACCTAAATCTACCTGGGATTTTTTGCATTTGATTTGGGATAGCACTTTTATTTGTATGTATGGCCAGTTTTGGTTGTACAATAATATGCATTTAAATGGAGTAGATAAACTTCAGTCTATGGTATGTGATCCCCAGTAATTCTTATTTATTATAATTGTTTTTCTTTTTGTAAAATTGTAAGGGGACCTTGTTGATGTACTTGTTAATAAATATAAGAAATGATAATTTGGAGTCTGTATGCTTGATCAAGAGGTATGGTGGTACCCATGTTTTGTGAATTCTGGGAGTATTTTCTATGTATAAATAACACCTCAGTATAGTTGGTATAGGTTTTATAGTATAGTTATTAATGCACAATTTGTGGTGCAAATATTTGCACATGAAAAGTTTAAGACATTACACCGTTTAATAATGGTAGGCAAATAGTCAGTACCAGTATCTGCTTATTGCCAGTTATTGCCTTGGCATAGAGTAACTGTCCAAGATGTTAAATTTGACTGTCAGTGTGACAGTTGCTTGGCTTGATAAACAATGTAAACGCAGTGCCTATTTGCTAACTATAGGTCTACACAAGTAGCTGCAGAGTTGCTCTTTTGTGTGGGCCTATAATTGATGTAGCATTATTTGTTGCAATATGATTTTGTATTTGTAAGTAATCTAATTTATGTTTCTGTGGAAACTGCCCCACTCTAATTTCTAAAAGAGTTTACATAGAGTTGTTGAGTAAAATATAAATTGTCAAGAGTGGATCTTTCACACCACAATAACTCCATTTAAAACTGGCACACTTCAAATGTTAAGTTGTTCTAAGACAGGAACGGGTGTGGTTCAAAATTAATGGATGACTTCGATGAAAGGTTTTGATCCAATTCAAATGTTGACCACTGTGTATTTTGTGTATATGCTGGTGTGTGGTGAGCGCACTGGTACTGTGGCTGCCATCGCATCATCTAAGTGGATGCTGTACACTGGTGGTAGTGAGGAGAGATTCCCTGATATGATTGTAAAACACTTTGGGTGTACAGTAGTACATATGAAAGTGCTATATAAATGCCTCATTCATTCGTATTGTTTTTGCCAGTGAAAAAAATCCAAAGATGCCCATGGTGTAAACCACTGGTAGACCGTTTCACATCATTCGTTGTATTGCATTAGACTAGTCTAGGAAAGACGAAATGGCTATAAAGTCAGTCACTTGCTTCGTTCCTGTTCCTGAACAAATTAGCCCTTATTATTCAGTGACGCTAATGACTACTAATGTGTAAGTAAATAACTGAACATGAACATGACATGAAACTCCATGTCATGAACTGCTCAGAGACACAGGAGTTGAGGATCAAAATGCAATAGTTTATTTTAGGGTAATCCAAAAAAAAAAAAAAAGATTTTCAAAACAGGCAAACAGTACATACAATAATAGAGTCCAGGGCAGAGGGAAAACAGAGAAATACAAAGGGACTGGGCATAAAGTCAAAACCCATGAATATGAAAAATCAAAGACCGCATTCAGAAATGCAGTAGAGACACATACAAGACTTCTGCAATGACTGAATGAATAAGGAGGAAAGGAGGAACAGGAGAAAGGGAGAGATGCCCGGTGAAGAGAAAGGGGGGCGCTCGGCGCACGCTGGACGGTGCGTGTGGGGAAAGGGGAGTTTTGAAGTGCTCGTGATGGATACAAGCTTTCTTTGGAAAATCGCTGGGGTGTGGAGATCGCCTATTTGAGTTTGCTGGATCAGAGTGATCCTCTGTGGGAAGACTGCTGGACTGCTATTGACTGGATCTGTGCTGTGGAAGGAGAGAGAAAAGAAGATAAGTGAAGTGATTTTCTTCTTATGAACATTTTAACCGCTTGAAGAGGATACAGTGAATGTGGATCTAACTGTTGGAGGAGCTATGTGTTTCAAAGCTAGTGCAACAAACTGAGTGAGGCCTCTGATCAGCCCTATCGTGTGAGTGAATTGCAGTGCTTTTGCCTTATTGATGCACAAGGATTTATGGCTGTGGAATTGAAGTGAACACAAGTGTGATGTGTCTTTGCTGAGAAGAGGGACAGCTTTGCTGTGGATTCCGTACTCCTCTCCGTCCATCCGAATCCTGTGAAAAGAGAAACTGTTCTGCTGTGAATCTGAGAGAACCAGTTATGCTGTTGAATCCTCACTTGTCTTCTGTCAGCCTGGGTCCTGAGAAGAGGGCCAGCTTTGCTGTGAATCTGAGAGAACCAGTTATGCTGTTGAATCCTCACTTGTCTTCTGTCGGCCTGGCTCCTGAGAAGAGGGACAGCTTTGCTGTGGATTCCGTACTCCTCTCCGTCCATCCGAATCCTGGAAAAGAGAAACTGTTCTGCTGTGAATTCGAGAGAACCAGTCCAGCTGTGAATCCTCACCTGCTCTGTCCACCCGAGTTCTGAGAAGAGCCAGCTATATTGCTGAAACTTCGTTTTAACTTAATTTATTCAATAAAGACTCTGTGCTTTTCTAACTTACTTTGCCTCTGTGTCCTCTGTGGTGTTGGCTCCTCGTGGTGGTACGCGTGTGTCGGGGGGTTGGGACGGCCGGTCATCTGGCGTCCGGCCTCTCCGACCCGTGACATATAGACAAAGTTAAGGGAAAATAAGAAACATCTGAAACTAATCAGAGATAATGCGTCCAGGCAAAAGATTCTGGGAAATGTAGTTAATGGTGGAATGACAATGTCCTGGGGAGGAGTGCCCTCTGGTTGATTTCCTGGGCACTCCAGCTGTTGATCGATACATAGATCAAAGGAGCGGCTTCCAGATGTTCCAAACACAACCATACGTCAAGGAGGGAGGTGGAGTGGAGGAGGACCAGGGGGTAGGACGGAGGGCCAGGTCCGTGGAGTGGAACCAGGACTAGAGGCAGGCCACATCCACACAAAGCCAGAGCTTACCCTATCCAATGTTTTTTTTTTCTTCTGAAAAAAATTCCATAAACACGGTGTCTCCTCAATAAATATCTGCGTACACACGAAACCACTGAAAACCACGTCTCGTATACATGCCAGACCAGTAAGTGGCGCTATAATTCTCCACAGAGATACACTAAAAACAGAGAAGAAGACTTAGTGTGCTTTCACACCTGCCTCATTTAGTTTTGTTCAATAGCTCTAGAGTTCGTTGTCCCACTTGGTGCGGTTCGTTTGGGCAGATGTGAATGCAGCAATCGCACTCAGGTTGGGCACCAAAAGCGGATGTGGTCAAGGTACGCTTTCAAACGAACTCTGGAGCAGTTTGTTTGTGATGAGAACATGATCTGACCTCGAACAGAGAACTGAGAGCTGCCAAAGAACTGAGTATGTTTGGACAAAACCAGCTGCCGTAGTCAAGACTAAGTTTGTTGACAGTTTGCACAGACAAATTTTAAGTTGTTAGGAGCTGTGGAGCCTCATAGAATCTCATAGGTCCCAATTTTCACAAACTCTAAGAACAGCAAAATCTTCGCTTTGTTTAGCAAACAGCTCAGGGAAAGGGGGTTACATTACATAAGCTGTGTCCCAATGTGAAGGCTGCATCCTTCGAAAGGCCACGGACTGCGAAGGATGCACCATGTAGCCTTCGTGGAATTTCCTAATTGTGCAACCAGGTGTTCCCGATTACCGCTCCTGGTGCCAAGTGTGAGAGTGCAGCTGCCATCCTGACCTAATTTGATAAAATTGAGTAAACAGCTATGGAGACAAAATTGACTATTGCAATTTTTTGTTTTATATTTTATTGGAGGACATGAGAGCAGGGGCGTGTAGACAGAATTTTATTTTTGGGGGATAAATAAATAAACATCCATTTCTTCTGCTCATCCAGGGCCGGGTCACTAAGCAGAGATGCCCAGACTTCCCTTTCCCTAGACACTTTCTCCAGCTCTTCTGGGGGGACACCGAGGCATTTCCAGGCCAGCCGGGAGACATAGTCTCTCCAGCGTGTCCTATGTCTTCCCCGGGGCCTCCGCCCAGTAGGACGTGCCCGGAAAACCTCCCCAGGGAGGTGTCCAGGAGGCATCCGGAACAGATGCCCGAGTCACCTCAGCTGACCCCTCTCGATGTGGAGGAGCAGCAGCTCTACTCTGAGATCCTCCAGAGGGACCGAGCTTCTCACCCTATCTCTAAGGAATCACCCAGCCACCCTGCGGAGAAAGCTCATTTCGGCCGCCTGTATCCGGGATCTGTCTGTCAATCTCCCGTTCCATCCTTCCCTCACTCGTGAACCAAACTCCAAGATACTTAATCTCCTCCATTTGAGGAAGGATTTCTCCACCAACCTGAAGTGAGCAAGCCACCCTTTTCCGACTGAGGACCATGGCCTCGGATTTGGAGGTGCTGATTCTCATCCCAGCTGCTTCACACTCGGCTGCAAACCGTCCCAGTGCATGCTGAAGGTCCTGGTGTGAAGGGGCCAACATGACAACATCATCCGCAAAGAGCAGAGATCAAATCGTGTGGTCCCCAAACCTGAAACCCCCTGGCTGCGCCTAAAAATTCTGTCCATAAAAATTATGAACAGAACCGGTGACAAAGGCCAGCCCTGCCGGAATCCAACATGCACCGGGAAGAAGTCTGACTTGCTACCGGCAATGCGAACCAAGCTCCTGCTTCGGTCATACAGGGACCGGACAGCCCTTAGCAAAGGACCCCGGACCCCATATTCCCGGAGCACCCTCCACAGGCCGCCTTGGGGGACACAGTCGAGTGCCCTCTCCAAATCCACAAAATAACCTTTCTTTAAACTCCTGTTAGTGCTCAATAAAAACTTTTTTGGATATATGACATAAATGAAGTCAGTCTGGTTAGTAATAAGTGAAGCTGGTAATGCTGTTTGTGGAGTTGTTTAATTCTCCTCTGCTGAGATCTTGAGAGATTTAGGCTGCTTTCAAACTTGCCTCATTTTGTTCGGTTGAATCGCACTAGAGTTCATTTTCCCTCTTGGCACAGTTCGTTTGGGCAGGTGTGAATGTAGCAATCCCATTCGGGCGTACACCAAAAGCGGACCAAACAAGCATACTGAGACCCTTGGTAGGCTTTCAAATGAACTCTGGAGCAGTTTGTTTGTGGTAAGAGCGTGATCCGACCTCGGACAGACCCAACTGGCATTTTTGGACTAAACCAGCTGCTGTAGTCAAACAAAATGATTATTAATATTGTCAATAGCACTCCCTTTAAGCCATGACTGACTTGCCGCGTTCTGCAATCTCACTCTTTTCATGAACACTGAAGTTGTCCGCACTGCATAGTTAATCTCTCATTTATATCACGTCTAGACTTTGTTGTTTATGAGGGGATTTGCGAAAGGATAAAGCTTGTGCTGATTCTGAACATACATTGTGAGCGAATTCTCCGCATGTATGCCATATTTTCCTCCTCTTTGTTTACTTCCGGGAGTTCTGTTGGAATTTTCCCACACGTTAATTCAGCAACTAAATGGATTGTTAGTCACATACTTGTATTAATGACAACCCCTTGAATTGTGTTATTTATTGATTGATTCAAGATGAAAATCAGGCCAGGTTCAAGAGGCTTGTGCAAACATTCACTGACCCCCTGACAGAAGTGTATCTGCTGTTTTTCCAAGCAACCATACCAACTTTCACTTCTTTCAACTTGCTTCTTCGGGGAGAGCAGTCGCCAATATTTTTGTTGCATGATGAGGTGGGATTGGATTTTGCTCTTTTTTCCATTCTGTGTTTCTTGCTGATATCTGCAGGGATCTTCAAAAATAGGTTTTACCTACTATTTTTGTAAACATCTGCTATAGATGGTGAAATTTGTACGCAAGCTATGTTCCAAGTTTATGGTTCCAGCAGCTCTGCAGGGCCATGAGCCGTGTGAAATTGCCTTTAAAGAGAAGGCAAACCATTTACCAGGTTAGTGTTTGACTATTATTAGGATCAAACACTGTGATTTGTGATATTTAGCCTTGTACCTAGCCTTTTGCCACTTCATGAGTGGAAACATAGTAAGGTTTGTGGTAGTCCTTCCATTAACCGTGAGCTTCTGGTTGGATTTCTTGCCCTATGTGTCTAGCTGATATTGCCACATCAGCATGTTAAACCATTTATGTTAACCTGATATGCTGTATCTGTAACAGGAAGAAAGTTGCACATTGGGTTCACAACCAGGGCTTAACTCAACAGATTACTCAACGAGGGTGACATCACATCACAGCAGGTGGATTCATTCCATGATCTGTGTTGTGTTTCCTGACATGTGCTGTGGACTATGCACTTAAGAAGCTGCCACTGGAAGAGCCACTGATCAAACATTCAAAATTCGTAGATATATGGCAGAAGGCTGAAAGTGACATCAACGATGTTCTGTACTTTGTTGAAAGGTTAGTTTTTCCTCTAATTATTGCCTATCATCATAGCTAAAATACCCTGTGCTTTATGATGAGGTGTGCTCACTCCTAAACTGCACATGAGCTATTCTTATGTGGCTTTTCCTCAAAGATGCATATGAATTGCTGCTGGTTGATGACAATATACCTAAAACGTAGCAACTTGCAACTGTACTTTCATAAATAGGTTTCCCCATCTCCTCCCATACCATGGGCCAGAAGAGCATGACCTTCTAGGTGAGGCGTTTTTAAATTATCAGACCATGCAAATGATATCCCTGCAGCAGGACGAGACTGAAATGGAAAGTTAAACATAAGGTAAACACTTTTTTTTGTCTTTCCCTTTGACGGGTGTGGCTTGGCTACATCTGTTGCATGCATACACTATGTCATGCATATTGAAAATTATGATTTTTTTTATCTGAACTGATTTTTTTTATCTGAACTTTGTTAATGGAGCAACCTGAAGTAAACTTGCAGTATTAATCAATAAAAAAATCAAAGTATGTTTTTCCATTGTGTTCTTGGTGCACAGGAGAGGAGCCAAATTTGAGAATTTGAGATGCTTGCTGCTGTCGCCAAGCTGGTCCTGGTGTTGTCCCATGCAAACGCAGATGCTGAGAGGGTGTTTTCACTTGTGGGACTGAACAAAACCAAGAGAAGAAGCACCCTAGCATTGCATGGCACCTGGTCATTAATAATGACCGTAAAGATGGCCAATCTGGAGCCCCCCTCAGATATCATCAAGGCCTCTAAGAAGGCCACAGGCCATTATAACCCAGCTTAACCCAGCTTCTGATCTGCTTCTGAAACTAATCTACATCTGATTATGCCTAATTTTTGGTTATTTTTGTAATTCAAAATGTATGTAAATATCTGTTAATAATTGTTGCAGTGCTAAATAAAGATGTAGCCTAATTCATGATTTATTTATTTATTTATTTATTTTAACAAATTATTGTTATTTTGCAGATTCTGAAAGCTGCACATAGCTGCGGATATTGATAAAATAGGATAAAAATGGAACTAGGCAGAATATTAGAATATTATAGGCAGAATATTATTAAAATATTCCATATTTTACTACATTTAAATTTAAACATTTTTTTTTTATTATTTTGTTTTCATAATTTTACATGGCCTGTAAATCATAATTTTTAAATTCTCTGAAAATGTACACGTTTTCAATGATCAAGTAGCAATAGTATGAGTGCAATTATGAAGGCACTGTCCCCGACTGGAAGAGGACGTAACACCAAAGTTGAATTTAAAAATGTTTCTTTCTTTCTTTCTTTCTTTCTTTGCTGAGTTTATGAAGTTAAAGTCATTTTAGGTTTTATCATGATGGGTTAAAGGCTTAACTTAAAGCACAGTTTCCACCACTTTTGAAGAGAAAATTGTGGCAACACATTAAAACATATTTTGACTCAGATATTTCTATTGCTATTCTATTAATAATAAATAAACTCTAGCAAAACATAGTGCTAATTTTGATTAGTGTAGGCAAGATTTTAACTGGCAATCAAATAAATAAATAAAAGTTACAAGGACATACCCCGCCCCTAAAATGTTGACGTCAAGTGCCACTTTACCAGCCATTTTTTGAAAGTGCATCGGCATCTGATCTGATCGACCTGATATGGACACGCAACAGCAAAACAGCGATTTAATAGAAAACAACTAACAACCTACAGTAGCCATATTTGATAGTGTTTAATGCATTGCAACGTGCCAGACGCGAATTAATGGCTTCAAATACAGCTGATACGAACATTTTAACTGCAACCAGAACACTCTTCAGGAGGAGGCGAAGAAACCAAGTTCAAGGTAGCTAACGTTAACGTTAGCCTAAGTTACTTTTGTGAGTATGGATGCATTTTATTTGAATAGTGACTAACTTACACCGAGGCGGTTTAAAGCCTTTTTCAATGTAGTCACTATTCAAAGTTCATCCAGACTTAGTTAAAAGGATAAACTTAGTTAGAAGCATAAATTAGGAGTAAGTTACGTTAAAAGGCGTAACGTTACAAGCTGATGAAGCATTATGAGTAGTAACAGTTACTTGTTTAAGCTGATAACATTAACAACACATTTGGCAGATTGAAAATATTTTAAGATAAGTTAAATCTGCGAGTAGTTTGAGAGTAGAAACGTCGACTCATTTTGGCGGGCTTTATTTTAGCTAACGCACTTATCGAC